TAAGTCAGTTAACCCTTCTCTTCGAGAACGACTTTCAGCTGTGTAATTTAATTAAGAACGTTAACAAGAAGCTCGTTAGTACCTAACCTATACGGATATTAAACGTTACGACGTATTCCCACCTTTTGCACTTAATAAAGACTTGGGGGAAATGTCTGCGACGCCATGGCTAATTAATGACGTTACCAGAAAGCAAAGAAAGCCAACGAGTGAAAAAATATTAGTCGAAAACGTCACTCGAGGTTGCTGAAAATTTATTTTATCCCGCATTTACTTGGCCTGGGTAGACTATTACTAGGTGCATTTAATAATAATTTTTAACATCTTTACGCGACTTAAGACCTCCCTCTTTAAAAGTTACAACGCCACTAGAAATTATCGCCTAGGGGTTATGTAAGGGTAGAAAGGCTATTAGGGTATCAAGCAAAGTACTCATACTCTTCGTGATGACTTTTTTGTCAGGTACCAGAGAAACACATTTTTGCAAATTTATCCTTTCACTATCTTTTTTTTTTAATAATGGTTAATCCTCTCTCTCTCTCTCTCTCACACACACACACACACACACTCTCCCCCGCGCCCCTTTCTTTCTTCATGTAATACGTTTGGGACAAGTTTATATGCATAGATATAGTATAGCTATTCTTCTGGCACAAGGGACTTCTTCGTTAAATCCTGTACTAAGGGCCATATCTTCAAGCGGCTCTATAATAGGAAGTCCTGACTATACGCAATCTGCTACAATCTCGTCAAATAAAAGTTCCACAATATTTTTATCGCGGTACGCCCCGAGCAATGTACGGTTTAACCTCGCTGAAAGATCTAGGAATAAAATCGTTTATACCAGAGAGGAAGTGCATAGGTAATTAGGTAACGTACTTGAGCCCTACAATATGAGCCTTATTTTTGGATTAATAAATCTTCGCAGAATATAAAAAACAGCCATAGGTGGTTGTGGTTGAAAGAACAAAAAGTCAAAATGCCTGAAAACCATAGATGTTGTAAAGGGAACAACGGCCCCTCGGAGACTCGTAGAGTGAGGTCAAGAACGTTTTATAACCCGGTGGGTCGCAATGGGGGTGTAACAAGGAAAGCAGAGACGACAGTCCTGGGATGTGAGAGAGGTATACTATAACGTAGTGAAAGGTTGGTGAAAAAACTGTGAAAAATTATCTACGAATGTAACTTTCTTAAAATGAGAAAACTTTTGTGCGGCATGCAAGCGTATCAGGAGTTACCTTTGTATGGTTGATCCAATTGAAAAATCTCGAGTATATCACGGATCAATCTCCATTCGACAATACTCGAAAAGTTTGAGTGGAACAAGTTTTTAAAAATTAAACTACATCAAAATTCACACCTACTCCATTATAACCGGGAAGTCGCCCAAAGTACTTTTGGGATGAGAAATTGCAGAAATAATCTTTACCATAATTCACAAGGAAAAATTTTTTCCACGTTACGAAAGATATTTGAAATTTCTCTTGAGAACGTTATTGGCTATTTATTCTGACGAGTTTTTTTTTAACCTGAATAACCACGTTCACTCGTGATATTGAAGATATCAATTTCTTTGACACCAAGAGACATCGAAAAATATATTATACTATTTCGCGAGACTTAATGTGAAATTTAATCATTTTACTAAAATTATGGTTCTGTTCATACTGAAATTAGTTTTGTTCCGGTGTGGATTTAACATTGGATTCTCTCGTTATATCGAAAGCAACAATTCCGAAGGGTCAACTGTTATACAATATGAGTTGACTATTGACACTGTTAAATGAATACTCTGAACTTTCACCCCCTATACCACTCAAAAGTTCCACTGCCATAAGCCTTGAAAATTTCGATATGCCATCTAAGTCCGCTGGCATAATACACGAAGGTAAATTGAGTTTCCAAGAACCGCACTATAGTATAATATATAATATTCTCTACATAACGCCCTTAGAGAGAGCCAGGTTATATCTGTATATACACCTATATTTACAACTTACACATTTATATACACCGTTGATACATATAATGAGACAATATAACGAAATGCAAAATAGGTTATAAACTTTACGTAAAACTTTTGCGGAAATGATAAATTTTTGAAATAACCAAAGAAAACTGGCAATACGATAAATTGTAAGGTTTACTTGTTACAGAAGATGCATGTTTTCGTATAATTATTAAATAACCTTTAAAATTATCTGTTGCTTCGACATAAGGTTAAAATGCCGTATTTCCATAGCGAATATCGAAATTATGATTGAAAAATATAAATGTTTCGTGAATGCAGGAAAACTCTTGGTTTTTGCAAGCTCTTCGCACAATCCTCAAACTTCACGACCAGATAAGCTATACTTTCGTGACTCTATGGCTTTAAACTTTATTTTTCCTTTTTTGTCTCCCGATCCCGAGTAAATTTTACCTCGAGTCAAAGATTCGACCGGTACCATCTATTTATAAAGTATTTGAATTTAAAAAAATGATCTCGAGATGTTCCCTGAAAGTTTACTACAGTTTCATAGAGCAGTTACTCTGGATTTTTTACCCTGGTTCCATTTCCTTTTTTTTCTTATTCTTTTACTATTCGTCTCGTTCCCGCAGACAGATACGAATCACATGTGCTAAACGAGTTCTTTCGGAAGGTAGTGATCGGTGGACTCGTAAAATAATGTATAGGACGAAAACGTAAATTTGCGATAGTTTTGTCGTTTTGAAGAGAACGCTGTACAGCCACTGAACTTTATAATTCTCGTTACATTAAGTTTTGCATTTATGTAGAATCAATGAAATTGAAATGAAAAACGATTTCCATTTTTATGACGAATACCAAAAAACTATCGATACGAATTAACCTGTACTTGTGTCCGGCATGCGAATTCATGTTTACGAATTTTGCACACGCGTCCAATTCTACCTATATACGCATCGCATATTAGATTATCCTATTCTGCATTCATATCATGACAGCACGTGGCTGCATAAGTATATCGATCCCATAAGCCATTCTCATCTTGCTGATATACCTATACCCGTCAATGAATACAACACAATATCGCCAAAGAATAGACCAAAGATCCGAATGAATAATTTTAACACAACAGAGTCCGGTTTTTAATTAATACAAGATATAATAGCAGAACACCATAGTATCACAGGCAGCACAGAATTATTTCAAAATCCTTTATGTATCCCCTGATTACCAAGTTCTTACCCCAAAGTTTTACAAATTTTACTAACCTAACTTCAGCCAAGTTATACAATAAAGGAAATTTACTAACTTCAACCAAGTTATAGACGAAAAAGAAATTTACGTGCATTCATGTTACTTTCCCTAATTATAATTTAGTCTACGGCTGTTAACACTTACCTCAGAATTCCTTTGAAACCGCTATGTACGCGCGAAGCGTAATACTGTATCAACGCTTTGTCCATGCATCAAGGTACCGGCAAAGTAGCAGTTTCGACCTCACAAGTCTAAGTACAGGTACATGTACATAAACAACTTGCACAGACCAAATTGCATGTCACGTTAGCTCAATCTCACGTGAGATAAATTTTGATAGATCACGTGACAGACAAATACTGAAGTAATCCGTATTGATCAATGGTCATACCCGTGTTGCCCACCGCTTAAAAGGGCTTATTGCTCCGGTAACATGTACCAGAAGCCCTGGTTCTAGTAACAGCAGTAGCCACGGATATAGCAGCACCTAGCAACCACTTACTTCGAGGCACATTGAGGTCGAGTGCTAAAGCATTACTCTCGGACTGATAGGAACGAAGAAAAAGATAATCTGAGCATTTCACGAGAAAACTTTAAGAACGTCGGATGCACTGACTAGGGATCTGCAAAAGAAAATTGCAGCAATATATTCGGCACTCATGGTAGTCGATTGGCTTTCTGGCATGTAGCCGTTGCTATTTGTAGCATTCGAAGAATGCACTCCGGCGAAAGTATATAGGGAAATATCTATGGAAACGCCTAACTTCATTTCAGTCCTGTATCCTCGAAGATGGCCATGTGAAAAGGAAATACGATCAATTATTCCGATTGAATTGTCCTTTGGGAAGGAAAGGTACGGTGTTTCCTTTTTTTTTTGTCTCTTGAGTCCGAGTTACCGGCTGAATCTTCTTGATAGGAAAGAAGACGAATTAGGTTTTGTTTCTTGCACTTTTATTTTAGTTTTCGCTTTGGCGCCATCTTCATTCATCAGTACCACGTCAAGATTGTTTCTCATTTGATTAATGGCCGTTCCCTGGAGGTGTCGCAATAAATGAATGAGATCCGTAAGTGCAAATTTTATTTTCGGACAATTCTATTCAAAATAGTCCGAGGATATATTGTTTATGAGCGGTGTTGATGCATTTTTTCTTTGCCATTTTTTTTCGGCAATTTCAGTTAACATTCTACGTTATATTTACGACTTATGATCGACGGATTACGTATATGTATAGTTATACCGAATAGGAAACGTTGTGGCAACTTTCCAAAATTAATATTACGTCCATCAATGCGTACATGTGTCTCTACAGAAAATCACTAAAGGATATAGAATTTGTGTACTTCACACATAGTTCACAAAGTCATCATAATCTAAACAACAGCACCGTACCGAACGGCAATCCCAAGTAAAAATATTTAAATTCCGTAAATGGGAATTTTGTTGACAAAATTGCATCGTTCATTAATGACAGTATATAAATGAAGCCTAATGTCGATCTGATAATTCCTGTCCTAAAAAAGACTGAAATTAATTCGCTCGAATGATAATCATCGGTTTTTTATTATATAACCTTCAGTTTACATATCGATCCATAACGCATTTTCCCACGTTCATTAATATTCGTGTATGTAATTACTCTTTGTTTGATCAACGCCCACCCACCGCCCTCCCCATACAAAAGGGCTGTCAGTCCTTCATAAATTAAACCGTAAGAAGTTTTTCTTATCTGAAACGTTATGTAAGTTTATGCGAGATAATTTTTTTGGTCTGTTACAGATTCTAACGATGATCCTCATACTACCGAGGTGATGTGGCTAAGCAGCGGCTGGATGGCCCTCGTGGCCATTTGGACCATTTTAGCGACCGTTCTTGGGCAACAAGACATTTTTCGAAATTCTAGCAAATACTTGGAACCTCAGGATGTCTTCGCGACACTGAATATCAATCAAGTGCAAGAGAAAAGCTCTAGTGTCGACATTTATGGGAAAGTGGAGGACGTAGGTAGCGCAAGCCGAGTAGCGAAGGAAAATGTGAAATTTCGTAAAATGGACTCTGTGAAAAATAGCGAGGTAAATTTAAAGCTGAAAACAGAAGGAAACGATAGTGAAAAGTTTGCCCCGGAGACTCCTAAAAAGGATTCGTATTCCTTGGCAAACGTCCCGCAAGGATTTGGTATGGTAGTTAATCCTGGAGAGTTTGTGAAAAGGAAAAATTCCCTATCTAAAGACACTAGTGATTTTAAAACTTCATCGATCAACAAAGACATAAATGTATTTGAGATCGAGAGAAATAAAACTGTTGGCGAGGGGGAGGGTAATTTTATTGTCATTGGAAAAGATGTAAATTTTCGAAAAATTCAACAACGATCTTCGTATGCACTCTCGCGGCAGGAAGGTAATGAAAATCTTGGGAAAGAGGTAATAAAGAGCAGACAGCATCCGAGATACGCAAGCAGTGAAGATCGTGACATCGCTATGGAGAATCATGACTTTAATGACGCAATTGGAAAATATCAGAATAAACTAAAAGGGATAATAGAATTTGAAAGACTTTCCAAGAATTTGAAAAACCAAAAGAGACTAAATGATATAAAGACTGTTCCAGTTAACGAAAAGATTCACTCGAATCAACAATTCCATGTTAATTTGTTTGGAAAATCAGATGATCAAATCTCGTTAAATTCTACAGAGAAATTTGTAATCAGTTCTGTGAAGGATCTCAAATCAAGGAGAAACATGGAAAAGCGTATGGAAATATTGGACGAAAGCAAAAACTATGAAATCAATGTTAACACTACGATCAGGCCGACATCCAATACAAAAGAAAATGTAATTGAGGTGTCATCGCGTCCCGGGATTACAAAAAGTTCATGGAGTATATTATCGATGGGTGACATGAAAAATTTGACAGCCTCGAGTACTCCTGTAGATCCAAAAATACATACTCCAACGGTCGGGCTTAAAATGCAATTTAAGGTGAGAAATGAAATTTTTCAGAAAATGAAAAATCTTTCAGAGCAAGGATCCCGAGGATTAGAGAACCGGAGAATTGATTACGATACTGACGATGATTACATTGCTGACGTCACAACGAGACTGTCAAACGAATCCCTCGCGAATGAAAATAATGCGGAAATGCCTGCTGAAAGGAAAATCAATATTGATGCCGATGTACAGGAAAAGAGTCACGTAGGAAAAGACACGGAAAATAACACGGTTAGACAACGAATAATCGATAGTAACGGTACTGCAGGGAGCATATCAAAGAATGACAGGATAGCAGTAGAGCAAAAGAAATTAAACGTATTCACGGCAATGGATTCTACACGAAGCAAGATGAATTTCCATAAGCGATTCAAGCCAAATTTAGTGGACAACAGTGAAATTGGGCAACTAGGAAAAATACCATCAGAGTATAATTTAATGAGGAACCTTAATTTAAAAAATGTAGAAAACAGCGAGGAATATGATATTGCAAGAAGAAAAGTAATCCGGAAAAATACAAGGACTCTTGAAACCGTAAAACCGTACGAGGGGAATTCGTATCTTGAATCAAGTAGCAATGGAAGGTATCCACGAAATAAGAAAATTACGAAGGTCCATATGAAAAGCGATACGGGAAATGCGTTTCCGTATCCATATGGGGAAAGTGTACTCGTGGAAAATCCGTTTTTCAAGAAATTTTCGAATTCGAAGAAACATTTCAGTGAGACAACGCTGCCAGCTAAAGTTCTAAGTGACGACAAGGATGTAGTGTCCTTGAGGAATATGAAAGCGTCGACGAAAATAAACGTAGCGAATGTGACATTTCCGGCGAAAATGTCGGGCACCTCCATTTCCAGAGAAATTCAATCTCTCAGCAATATTGTTGGACAGAAATCTGATAATCGAGGGTTTCGCGAAACGACTTGGACAGATTATAGTCGTGAAATTGAAACGACGAAATATTCAAGGAAAAACCGGAAATTGACCGAAAGCCCGTATGACCTAGGGAGACCAATTTCACTGATAAGAGAGTCAATTAACGATAAGGATAATATAGGTAAATATAAAGAGAAAATTAAAGAAAGTGAAGCATCGATTCATCAGCAGAAGGAATTGCAAAATATAGCTAGTTACGGAGGTAGCAACAATTCTGAAAACAGTAGCGATTTCTCATTGAAGTCACCGACTCCCGCAGCTTCCGAAAGGACTAGAATGTCTTTACTATTTCCACGCAATATTCTTGCCGAAAAACATCAGGGACTCGGAAGTAGCACGCGAAGGGGCAATAAGCAGAGCGAATCAGTTTCAATAACGTCAATGAAAACTTCCGGGGTTGAGAAAAACTTTTTGTTCGGCACGCCAAAGTTTAACGATCATGGTACCAGGATTGGATCTGATCCTGGAACAATTATTCATGATACAAGGAGTCACGAGACTAATTCACACGATGCAATTTCAGCGGCAGTCAGCTACAAAGGGAATGAAAAGGCTCCTATAATCAGCAGCGACTTACACGGAACTCCAGGAATGATGAAAACTGATGCTGATCATGGGAAAATCAAGATCTTGGAAAATAGTCATACCGGTACAAATTCCATTGGAATTCCAGTGGGGAACAAACTTGTCGAAGCATACAGCAACGCGAAAAAGATTTCCGACTGGATTGAAGAAAATCCACAGAGTATTCGATCGAACGAGAAAGAGAATACTTTTGAAGAAAACGTCACATCCTCCATAACTGATGCTAACACCGAATCAGTAAGAACGAGAATATTGAATTTCTTAATAAAAAACCAAACGTACTTGCCTAATAACGACGAGAGAATATTATTTAACGAAACTTCGAATAAAAATATTTATTTTAAGACCAAAGGCAAAATCTTGTTCAACGACGATATATATGACAAGAAGAGAATAGGAAATTTGAGGACGTCAATTCCCAAAGACATAAAGTCCGAAATAAATTACGTAATAAGAACAATGAAAAACGATAAAGATCGTTTCGTCAAGAGAAATGAGTTTTCCGAAGGTACTGACATAAAAGAATATAAAAAAGTGGATACTGGATGTCAAACTGGAAGCGAAGAGTCGCTTGGACCTTATTATAATATAAATAAATCTCGATTGTCCGCCATTGATTCTAAGAATGATGAGATTGGAGCGGATGGATGTCTAATAAAACGAACAACCAGAAAACTTGGTACTACCTTGCACAGCCCTGGGGGAAAGATTGATGAAAATATTATACTGAGAAAGTTATTGAGCGATTCCATGTCGACGACACCAAAAACCAATGCTTTTGCAGTGACAGAAAAAATATCAATAAAAAATAATATTTCCAAGAAATCGAACGAGACACCGATTTCTTTAGGAAAATTAATCAACGAAGACAATTTCTTACTTAAGCTAATGAACGACGGAAGAACATCAGAGTATCGAGGGACGAGCAACACGCAAAATGTTCCTTTCGACGCGCTTTCGCCGAACTTGGAAAAGTTTAATCGTAACAATAGAAACTTTTTATCTCCGCGTAAACGTAATTCTCTGAACTTGCGCGAGACTCACGAAAGCTTGGATAATAAGGAAGAGCTCGGTAGACCGAATACCACGATTCGTAGCGTAATAAAATCCAACGATAAAAAAAACTACGAACTTGATACGTCATACAAGACAAGCATGACACCTAGTAGCAAAGAAATATACGACGATATAAATAATGCGAACTTGAAAAAGCGTACGATTAAAAATGTCACGAGCCTGATTATGAACGAATATCCTATATCAAATAAATACAATAGCACAGATTCGTCTTATACGGCAGAATGGACGGAATCGTTAAACAATTTGAAGACAGATTCGACCACGATAAACATATTAGAAACGTCCATCGGCATTTTCGCATCCAATAAAGATGCCTCCCTAAGATCTTCCGAGCAGGATCTTTATGATTCTCTCGGATCCAATCAAACTCTATCAACGTATGATCAAATCGAATCGGATAATTCAACACGTGTATCGAGCACGTTAAATCAGTGGCCCGTGAAACACAGTGTTGTGGTGGAAGGTGATTTAGTGTTGGGTGGTTTAATGATGGTTCACGAAAGAGAAGATTCAGTCACATGTGGACCAGTTATGCCGCAAGGTGGTGTCCAAGCGCTGGAAGCCATGCTTTATACCTTAGACAGGCTGAATGAGAAAGGAATCGTACCTGGGGTTAAAATTGGGGCCCATATATTGGACGATTGCGACAAGGATACATACGGACTGGAAATGGCTGTTGATTTTATAAAAGGTAAGATTTATCACAATTCCTTTTTTTTTTCTTCTCCGTACTACACTTTTAGTTTTGTCTAATAGCTTTCACAATATTCCAGTTTATTTGATATTCCGCGCTGGTTTACTTATCGCTTATGGAAAACGTGGCTGAACTCGATAAGCAGTCCGCATCCTGTCGAAAGGAATTCCCTTCGCATTTCTTTTGGAGATTCATTAGATCTCACTTGAGATATCCGTGATCCTATTTTTTTCGGAAGTCATGTGTTTTCGGAAACTGTCTCTTGTAACTGACTTTCGGTCTGTTCCGTGTTCCTTTTGTAAATCAGCTTCAAGATCTCTCTTATCACACAGCGCAGAGCGTCGTAGGAGAATAACATTGAGTAAGGTAAACAATTTCTGAAGATCATTCACCGTCTGGAAAATATTTAGTCTCCTGCTCACTTTGATGAAGAGGTATACCATCGGAATTTCTTTCGGTACTTTGATGACATTTTATACGCAAAAAATTTCGTCTGAAACGAAACTTTAACCTTAATAAATTTCACAGGAATCTTGTTTAACGTTGTCAAAATTTTCGGTAACATCTACTCTCTATCATTCTCGACAATTATTAATAAACTTTAGCATTATTCGCTTTCAGCATTATCAGAAATCCTGTGTCTGCTGTACTCGAGTACTCGTGACCATGAGTAATATTCACGACAACGAAGTATGAAAAAGCTCATAAAATTATGGCTATAATTATGCCTTTTAATAAGTAATACGAGAAACGATGCCATTCGATAATTTTCAATGAGAGCTCGTTATATGTAGATAATGATTATTTTATGAAAAATAATCAACGTTTATTTTACAGACAAAAACGAAGCATTCGTTTAATTAAATAAAAAAATGCGGAAGAAAAATTTATTTGCGTCCAAAGGCAAAGTTTCATGTAGGGTGAAAGTTTAAATTGACGTAAAATGTAAAAAGGACGAAACAAAAGAAAGTGGGTAGACGAGTTGGTGGAAATGTAAAACTTGTTTGCCTTTGGATTGATTATATATTTCCTGAGGATTGGTATACCTGCTACGCAATATGGCTTCAACGTATTTCGCATATAATAGAGAATAAGGCAGCCGGAAGAGCATAGAGGCGTAATAAGTAATCGTGGATGAAAGTATGACTTTGCTAACGTTATCTTTAAATAACATAATTAGCACATAGCGTTATCTCGTGATATTCCCCTTGACAGTTATTTTTACTGGTTTCTAAAAGAAAAAATTTACTCTTAGATCGATGCCAGGAATAATTCCTTTCTTCTTTCTTTTTTTTCTCTCAACATCCCGAGGCTATAAGCATCGGCAATGTAACTTTCGCAACTCGCAAAGAAAACATTTAATCCGATCAACTGTCTAATTTGTAGAATAAAGTTTTAACCGCATTTTATAGGGACGCTTGACGTTAACCCGTAATCCCCATTTATTGCAATGTAAAAATTCGATATTTTATTTATCATTGAAGAAATAACGTTACGGTGTTTTCTAACGGTGATATTTATTTTGAAACCTATCATTACCGTAAGTTCAAATGCACCGGTAAGAATTGCTCTGCACAGGAGCTTTTCTTTTAAAATGTTCTTCACCACTCAGGACCTTCGTCGTCGGACACGCCTAAGTGGCGATAGAAATAAAACAAATTGAAGCAAAACTTTCAAGTCCTTATATATTGTTAAAGTTTTGAGAACGTAAAATCTTTACAGCCGCTTATGAAACGTTTTGATAAGTTCCAATGGAAAAGTCTGTTTACTATCGGATTTCGTATATCGTTCCAACCTAATGATACCAACACGGGAACACGGAAAGGGTTGCATCCAATTGAAGAATGCATTAATTAATTTTTATAACTTCGAGAAATTCTAGCTAAGGTAAATGGGTCTGGGTAAATCTGATCCAAACGCGACTCTATGCAAAGCGATAAGTACCGTGGTCGCAAAGTTCATCCAATTCGTTGCAGAATTCTCGTCGAACGTTCCCAAAGGGTTACGCAAGCTGCGAATTTCTATCCACTCTCGCTCCTATTTTGGATCGTTCACGTGGTCGAAAGAGTTAAGTAATTAATTTGGGAAACGTAGTCGGGAAGAAAAACCCGAAGATTTCTGAACTCAGCTGATGTCATAGAATCTATCTCCTTGGGTCCAAGACCTTGTGACTACTTTCTGCCCTGGCCGTACGGCGATCACCGTTGCGGCGTCTGACGTCGTCGACATCTTGCTTGGACAGTTCCAATCAATCCCGAATCTTTCTGGTTCCCGAGAGACTGGTTGGAGCTGCCCTGCTCTCCTGATCTCAACCTGCCCTTGTCACAGCCCTTGATTTCCACTGTCATTGTTCCATAGACTTCCCTCCTACCCGCTATCATATTTTCCCTTTCTATTGGTATGTAGAAATTACGTAATTTTGAGAGCACGGAGCCTTAGAATAAAACAAATCAAAAAGAAAGAACCGCATAAACAGCTGTTGAGTGTAAAACGCAATTATAACATGAGAGACCTCTTATAAAAGCTTTGTGCACTTCGCCTTAATTATCATAGATGATTTCTGCACTGTTGAATCTCTAAATTATACCCACTGCAATAAACTGCGAAATATAATTAACTAATTATTAAACCTAGCGTTTTATTGGGTTAATTCAGAACTAGCACAAGAAGAGTGCTAAACTTTAAGTGGCATTATTATATAATTTAGTATTTGTGCTTCTCGCCTCGTGAAAAAGCACACCAAAAAAGCTTTGGTAACGCTTAAAACCAGTTGTCAACCTTTAACGCCCACAGTCGGTAAAGTCATTTACAGAACTCAGTCGATAACTGTAGTAACTTTGCACTTTCTCGAACAGCAGATAAAGGTACTGCATTGGCAGGATCCATTGGTAAAGCACGAAAAAGCTGAAAGAGCAATATCGTTCACTGGCAATATTATCAAAATGATAAAATAGAATTGATTTTTGAAATTGACGGCAGATAAGTTGACGACAAAATCGATCGATTCATATATTATCAATTGAGACAATGGAATTACACGAATAAGTATTATATATTCCCTTAACCGTCGTTGTTAATGATTTTCTGCATATATTAATGCAAAATGATTTTCAGTATCTATTTCGTAATTATAAATTTCAGTGTGAAAGCTTACGATTATTTTAATCGAAACTCAATCAATACTAAAACCATAATAAATTCGATAAGTCACTCGTTATAAATATTCTAGGGACGTCGGGAAGATTCCGTGGCGTGGGTGAGTGAATTTTACTCGAAGGGTAGTTTTTGGAGAGAGAAGGTGGCGTATAAAAAAAAGTTTGCTGCAATTAAGTTAGTCATTCGATGGTAATATTTAATAGAAGGCTAACTTAATAGTAAGCAGCTTTCGCATCACGAAAGATCATCCCGCGACCACTACTGTAATACGGAAGGGTAAGAGGGGGCATCGAATTCATTGGTATTGGCAATGGTGCATGCTTTTATTAATATTTCCCCCTTTTCTCTTTAGAAGCCGAATTGTGCCCATAATATAGCAGTCATCCCACGAACAGACCCTGTAGACTTTCCATGTCATGACGGTAATTCGGTTTGTCGTCAGGGAAAAGAAAAAATGAAAGAGACGAAGAAAAAGACAGAAATAAATAGAAAAAGGAAAAATATGATCAATTCCGATAGGATTGCATTTTTTTTTATGGTTTCAGTACAAAAGAATAATTCGATTTTTCCAGAAGTCATGCCATATATTACACGATATATACCTATCCATAAGAAAACATTATCAATCGAACTATGTCAGTCTGGAGTGACAACATCTCCTATCCCAAAGTTATAACAAATCTGCAGAAGCAGTTCTGAGTAGAGATTCACAAAATTGACTCAGAAAATTTTTTCCGTGCGACATCCCATCAAAAATTGATAAAATATTCCGCTGTACGAGAGTAGAGTTATCTCGCGCGAGAGGAAAGGAGATGGAAGAAGAAAGAAATAAAAGAAAGAAGACAAGTGGATGCTGCGGTGCAAGAAGGATGACGCAACAGTTTTAACTCTACCTATTTCTTGGTTCTGCCAGTGTTGCGTAATACACGTAGCACATGAACACGCTTCCAGGGGGGGTTCAGAATATCAGAACTGCCACTCTGTATTTATGAACCTCGAAATTGTATATTTTGTCAATTTCTGGTCGTGGTTACTTGAGGAAATCGTGCAAAAGATCCAGGTCTACGAGAAGGGAAGGAATGTTCCGGTGGGACGTGAGAGAGAAGATCACTTTGACTGGGTACATTCGAGAATATTAAAAGAGACAAGAACGAAATATATATATGAATAACAGTGACAGCAAATTTGCAACGTTGCTTTATAGGGATTAAATCGCAAAGACCCCATGGGTGTTTATGTCGAATTTTGTTTCACTTTTTCTTTCACTTTTCCTTTCACTTTTTTTTTCATTTCCATCGCCGAAACGAGTTAATTTTTAATTTCAATCGAATTGACGGCTCTTACTTGTAAACCCTGGGGAACTACGAAAAGATCTTTTTGAGCAAATGATTTTGAGACGTAATGAAAAATAAACTTGAGGCACTTTTTATTATCACTAGATAGATTATATGCGTTTCTATGTCTTGGCACTCTGTCAACCTCTTATGCCAAAATTGTAATCTCAATATAAGTTAATACCGTATGGCCCTGTTACACGGGTCTGGAAACGATTAAACGTGAAAACATACTTGGCGTAAAAGGTGGTAAAATTGAATCTTATTGAATTATCGTGGAAAATCTAAATTACCTGTTAATGTACTTCGATAACCGTAATTATTTAAAAATAGAATGAAGGTCGTAGCCAATACATTTTTTTCTACGAGAAAACGTAGAACTGTATTGAATTTTACAAAGGGAATATCTAACTGAGTGAATTCCATATCTCTTGAGAGAGAACCACTCGACGCTGACAGAACCCCATATTTTATTAAGTTCTTCGAGCACATATACTGCCAACTGTG